CTATACGGAGTTGTTTTGTCTTTGTAACTGTTAGTGTGACGGACCAGAATGAAACAAATCCAATTCCTCTTAAAGTCATTTAATACGGAATGTCCGTAAACTCCTCTTGCAGTGTTGGTCAGCTTGTCTGAAGAGACAACATAATGCCGTATGTACTGCATGTCTTAATAAAAATATATGTAATATTGCTGCTGTTGATAGACAGAGTACAAACGTTTACCAGTTCCTACTATAAAGACTGCTTGAGATGTGTACAGAATTACAACATAAAATGAATAAAAATTGAAAGCTTAAATCAAAAATTAATATTTTGAAATGATTAATGTATAACATACATTTTTTTTATGCTTCCTTTCTCCAACACTAATTTATAGGGTTCAACTGTTGTTTTCTTGGGTCAGTTTATGACACTAAATATATCAAATGATGGGATGACTGATCAACAGGAAAGGATCTGGAAGGAGGCAGTAATGGCCTAATCAAGTTATCATCATGGCATTAGCCTGGAGGGAATGAAGAAAATCACTTAAAATTTTATTGGACTTGAGATTCTCATAGCAATGATTATGAAGAGATCTATCTTCTGATATATAATGAATGGTGTGTGATCTGCAGAAACTCAACCAACATTTCAGAGGGACATAATTTTAACATTTATCAGGATACATTGTGTACCAGACAAGATTTGAACTGAACATCTCCCAAATAAAAATCTAGAGTGTTAAAACTACACCAGGTCTCTCAGTTTCAGTTGTTAGCATCAAATTCTACTCGGTGCCTTCTCTAGCAGCCATGTTAATATCAAAAGTAACTGATGCATGATTGTCCCTAGTTTACAAAGAACAATTTACATGTATTGCCAACTGAAAACATTCCCTGAGTTCTTGCACATTCTGCATGGTTAATGTTAATCTATCATGTGCTAAGGTATTTCACCATACTTAATTACAAATACTGCTTAATAATTTCTGCTGCTGGTTTTCAGAGGCAGAGCAGTGACTCATATGAAGATGTTTGATATTGCAGTATCATATCTGTGGCTTGCAACATGGTTTTTTTTACATCGTTTGTTTTTCCCTGAGATCACAAGGACCTAGTAATAGCCTCATCCCCCTATCTAAGACATCCTAATGTTTGTCTTTTGGATGGGTGTGAAAGACCCTACAATACTGGCAGCTCTGGCCTCATTTGTATTACAATGCCATAGGGGAAGAGGAAAGGAGAAGAAGACTTGTTATGATGCCCCTCTTTGTGGAAAATATTGATATTTTTGTGTTATAAAAATAAATATATTTACTAAAGTTTCAAAGAAAAATAATAGCATTTTTCATGATAATATAAACGTCCATTTCAATGTACAAAATTTTTAATTTTTCTATGTTAACAGCATGCCTTGAAACATTTACAAGAACACCTGATCATGCTTTCATTTTATGTATACTGAAAAAAAGTATTTGCACTGTACTGAACTGTGTAAAGCAAAGTAATACCAGACAGTAGATTTTGGCACCTTATTTCCCAAAATACATCCTTCAAATATGGCACTTTCTGTATTAAAATGACATTTAAAAGTACAGTTATAAAACAGTTAAGTTCATTATACAAATGTTTCTTAGGAACACAAATATTTGCATACCTTATTCTATTCTGAAACAGGAAATACTTTTACAAACTTGGTGATATGGCTAAAAGCCACACCAAAAACCAACACTAATATCTAGCAGAAAATTCATTAAAGAAAATTAAATGACTACAAATTAACAAATAGAAAGGTTACATAAACAGTAATTAAGTTTATCATAATTAGTATGGCAGTGATGAAATTAAACATTGAGTACTTCTGGAGTGATTCACAGCAATGAGTCATGGTTGGGCAGCTTAGTTTATGCTATATTTTAATCGACATACAAGATCTTCCTTAAACAATCTGGACAGACCATTACCAATCACTGTTACTGTTTTTACATCAGTGAGGGCACAAGAAAACATAACACAAGATGACATAGTAGTCACACAATCCATGAGAGAGGTTATTATCTAGTAATTTAATCACAGCAACATTTCATGACATTAGAACATATATGTTCTCTAGAGATGTTAGAAGTTGTTTCCAGCTTCGCAGCACAGATTCACTACAAAGTGGTTCTTGTTGTTGATGCTCTCTGTCATATTAATAACCAGAACAACAGTATACCATGGATATATACAGAACTAGAGAATTTAGAAGTACTCAGAATTTTCATTCTGGCAGTTTCTGTAGAATGTAATATTCATCAAGGCACATGCCTTTCCCTCACAGACAATGTTATATGGTTTATATACAGCTAACAAAACTAATACAAATATCCAAGGTTGTGTGTTCCACACTTACCAGCTTCCCCATTTATTGTCTTGTATAAATAATTTTGTATTCTCCTGCAATAAAAGTTGGATACATACAATTCTTTCATCATGTAAAAGTTACTTTCGCATATTATTAAGTGAAAAATAGGATCACCTGATCATACATGCCGTTGTAGGATTAGTAGACTTGCTTCAGTTGTCCAGTAATTAAGATTAGCTCAATGTGACAGTTCAAACTGAATATGTGCCTCCCTACCTTTTTGCCTGAGGATGGAAATGCACTCAGTGTCTGAAACATGCTCTGTTCAGTATACTGGACAGTGGACAAAGTTCAGAAACCTATTCATCCCATTTGTAATACACCACTGTCAGAACCCCACAGTTCCTACTCATTTTAAACTTAGTTTCTAATCTGTAACACCACAAACTGTACAAACAATGAAAAAATACAGTATCAGACTGGGCTCTTATTTAATAAGGGATCAAAGTGGACACTCCAGGGTGTTTTAAAAGTAGCTTTACAACTCTGAAAGGCTGTACAATTAATCTGAAGAGAAATATGCGGGTGAGGGTAATGCATACTTTCCAGCTTTACCTGCAAATGTTAGTGATCTATGGGAAAGAATTATGGAAGACATGAAAGACAAGCTATGTTGCACCTGGAAAGAAATTTATCGTAGGTGGGATATTCATCATGTTAGATCTGGGAGTCAAATTTAATTGTACCGCTGATATTTAAGATAAAAATTGATGTGTTTGGCTATATGTCTATGTATTTGGTTTCTATTTACCACCTATTAATAAATGTATGTAAGGTAAAGGGTAAAGTTGTCCCTGCCCTTAACTAATTGAACATTACACCATAAAGGCATATGGGAGAATGGATGTATGGATCCGCATAAATAAATATATGTATCATTTAAAATTTGTCAAGCTACTTTTTAAACACCCTGTCTATGTAATAAATAAAGCCAGCTGGCCAGGGTATTGCTGATTCATGTATGATATGTATGTTTTTTTAATATGTAGTAATTGACTTGTTCTATATCTGGAGGTTGTATCTCCAAATGCAGATTCTTGGAACAAAAATATTGATTGATTGATATGAGGTTGGAAGCAGAGGAGTTGAATTGAAGAACTGAGGCATCAAAATTATTGAGTGCAGATTAGTTGAGACTTGAAGGTTGGTCTGTGAAGAGATGACTTAACCTGTGATTTCAGACTTTTATGTGTTTCATAGTATAGTGATATTTGGAGTGTGACTGTTATGGTTCCTGTGTTAAAATCCATTGCCAGGAAACAGATAGTGAAAACACTGTAAAGGAATAGCCATTGTTGAGAGCTGTTATGAAGACTAGTGACAGCAGACCGAGAAGATCTAGTGTGGAGTGATTTGTAGTGTGAAAACAAATAAGAGTGTTATACTGATTTGTAGTTTACATTAATAAGTGGTCAGTAAATCCAATTATCAATTCAGAACTCATCTATAGTAACTAAAATATATGACAATATATTTCAAGTTCAGAAAACATGTGTTAGCTACGTTTTCTCCCCAAATTTTGCCTACTGAAAAGATGGCTGGCATTATATGCAAATTTGCTTTGCATGCAAAGTGAAGGGGCTGTTCTTTGTTTGAATGCCTTTCTATGTCACAACTTACGATTTTCACTGGGAAAATAAAGAGAAGGGAGGTTAGTACAGCAGAGTCCTGCACAAATATAAATGCTGTTGGATGGTTTTTAATTTTCTGAAGTGCACATAGTGAATATACACAAAAAGCTGGAATTAATGTATCTTCTCTTCAGACAATAGTGTGTGATAAAAGTAGAATTGTTTTCAATTTTCCTCAAAGGAAATTAGGTGGAAATCTGTCCAGATTCAAGCATTACTCTGTTGAAAGTTGAGTAGACTGCCCACAGAAAATGAACACCTGCCCCTTAAACATTTATATTACTGTGCCACTCTGCTGTATATCATTAGAACTACTGAAGAATGAGACAGGAGTAGACATTAGTTGTATGTGAAGCTGCTGTCACCTCTGAACCGATGTAAATACACTGGACAGTTCAGATGATCTGACATTTAGAACATGAAGTCCAGAAACCCAGTAACTCAAAGAATAGGAACAAAGTAAAATAACTGAAACTACATATTAATGTATATCTCTCTCCTTCCAGGAATTGGAGTTTGTGCAGGAAGTCAGTACACTTCATTTATGGTCTTCTATGATCAGTAAAGTATGAAGCACTTAGATCCAAAGTATAAAAAAGAACAAAAAATTCAACTCTGCAAATACCACTAGTAAGCACTACTGAGCACTGCTCATAAAATAGTCACCATACAGCTCTTAATGCTTAGCAATGAACATACCTTTCTGCATTCCTTCAAAATGTGCAGTTGGCATAGCTCTGATATTGAATAACAGGAAATTTCATCAAGTGACCGGTTTCTGCACATATTACTCTTTAGTATACACTTATATATGAACAAACATAACTGCTTAATCTGTGATAGAAAATGATGGTGTTGCATGTTCATATTCATATCTATTTGTTGGAATTCATTTTTATTTTGTGGGGTTTGGTGAGACTGAGTCCATTTGGTATGTTGGCCTCCTATAGCAGCCCCAGTTGATAGAACAGCATGGAGCATTCTGTGGAATGAAAATTGGTAGGGGAAACCAAAGTACTTAGAGAAATCCTACCCCAGTGCCACTTTGTCCACCGTGGATCTCACAAACTAGCCTGCGGTTGAACCCAGGCCACCACAGTGGGAAGCCAGCAACTAACAGCCTGAGCTGTGTAGCATGGTACTTGTTCAACGGTGACATTCAGTATTTTGCACTTTACTTATATTTCTGTTATGTAAAACACCTAACCATGTTTTGAGCACTTACTAAGAGATACTTATTTTTAATTTAAGCCCTCACTGTTATAAACAGAGTGAAACCCCCATTTAAGGTATCACTGGGATCAGTGGATATGAAAACTAAACTGAAGAAAATCTTAGATGGAGGAAATTTAAGAGATGTGATTGCCGATATTAAATATTACATGAGGGGCAACCTTAAACTGAGGAACATTAAATGGGAGTTCCACTGCAGGCAGTTCTTTTTTTAATTAGGGAACATCTATTCAGAGAGGTGCATTACTGCAGCAGATGTACAGTTGGTTGTCAACATCTAGTAATACATATTTAAAACATGGCATACTGGGAAGAACCAGAAGAAAACTACACAGCAAAAAGATGTCTGAAAAAAAAAAGTTATCTTTGTGCACGAGATGCTAAATGTTTTATGCATTTTCAGCTGTTAGGAATAAGATCACAGGCTAACAGTAGAACTGAATGTAAAATAATCCTACCAAAGTTACAGTTGTCACTAAAGAGGCTGGGGCAATGATAATTTGTCTCTTGGTTCAAATTTCATTTAGAGTATGGACGTTTCAAACAGGAGTTTCAACCATCAGGTTTCTCAGTTACTGTAAATGGCTGCTGGAATAGGTAAGGCTTTATAGTACTGCATAACCATGCGCTATCCTTTCCTTTCCAATTCATGACACATATTGTCCTTTAACCTCATTCAGCACTAAATAATGTCTGCAGTTACCATAACATTGTTAAATACACCACAAATTTAGAAACATCTGTTCATGACAATGACTTTTTATTTTAGTGTGCACTGAAGAACTGTCCATGTTTTCATAATATCCTGCATTACATTATGTATCTGTAATTCTGATTGTATTGGCCTGCTGAGAAATTTTAAGCATTTCTTTATAAATATGGGCAGAAGAACTGGTTTCATGTGATGCATTTATTAAATGATGACTAGTCTGTTCCTACAAGAGAAATAATTTTGTCCAGATATTCATTTTCTGTCTTGACTGCATTTTCGGTGAAGTTGAGAACCTCAGCTGTACAGAGCTTAACGTAATCTCCCCTGCTTATCATAAAAATTAAGAAACTGATGTTAACTCATCATGGTCCCTTGGAGCTGCCACCTGAACGTGTAGCTACCGCCTGCAGGTAGTTGGTGCCTGCATAGTTACAGAATTCACAGAACCCAGGAGGTCCTTGAGGACCTGGGGCCCCACGAAGACCAGGTAGTCCTGGAGGAAGAACATCATATACATTATCAACTGAAGATGTAAAATATCTGTGAGACTATGGGCACAATATTATTAAAAGTATAAAAGGAACTGGGATTCTTTAGATCAATGGCAGACTACTGCCCCCTGAACAAAAGAGATCCCAGCATATTCAACAAGATCTACAGACAACTGAAAGAATAAAACAAATGACTATAGAGGACAGCTGGTTGAATGTTTGGAGGTGAAGGAAGGTAATTTAACAGAGCCCCCAAGCTTGCCTGGAATTATAAATCATGATTAAGAACAGATGGGCTGACCAAACAAGACCAAATAAAAGGTGCTGGAATAGAATGACAGTAAGAAAATAAAGAAATAGATTATTAAGAATCCAGTCTGTGGCCTTTTGAGCAGACATTTGTATGTTATTTATTTATTTATTTACTTACAGCTTATTTAATGATGCTGTCAGTAGCTCAGTCTATGTATTGTCGAATGATAGGATGATTATTGAACTGCATTACGTATGATATGAAGGAAATAGTCAAGACCTACTTCAAGGTATAATCCTCACATTCACCTGGAGGGATTGAAGAAAACCACAAGCAACCTCATTCAGGACAGTTGGTGTCCCTGACAAAGATTCAATCAGGAGAGTTACTGCCTGATCCAACCTGTTTCATAACCCTTTGCAGTTATGTGTCTGAAAATATGGACTGAACAAATCATATAACTGAATAATATTGAGTACTTAAATGAGCAACAAAATTGAAAATAACTGGAAAAGACTTGAGAGAAGCCTAACAAATTATTGAATAAATTATTTTAAAGAAGTCAGTAACAAAAGAAGAATAAGATTAAAGAATGTACATGGAAAGTTTATGCTGTTTAAAAAGCATTCTAAATAACACAACCCTGAAATGAATATGCATTCAGACCTGTGTTGAAGGTTAGACATTTTGCCAGGGTCATTATTACTGTACCCGGTGTCCAATGCAATTATGGAAACGATTAAAGGAGCAAAATTAGATCTATAGACCTCTGTAGTACCTGTTGGTGGGAAATAAACCTCAAAGGGATAAAGCATGCACTTTATTCATATAAACATTCTATCGTTGCTCACAAAATTTAGCTTGAATATTTAGAAATTGATGATTAATACAGTGGAGTGTTGATTTATTCATAGGATGAGTGATGAAAACTTTGGAAAACTTTCCAGAAGCAGTAGTAAACTTCATATATATCTAGATGAGACCAAAACAAATAAATATCATCATTCATTACAATTTTAAAGAATTTATTACATGTTCTGTTGCCAAAATTCCTGTACAAATTTAATCAATTTATATTGTTTTTACTTTATGACATAGTTTGGCCATCATTAGGCAAGTAATTTCACATTAAAATTAATTTTAACCTAATATTTTAGTTTGCATATGAAGTACAGCCGGCAAGTACTATAAATGATGCACATGACCTTCCCCCTGAAACTGACAACATTGTAAACATTGGTCAATATGGGGGAATGATGATGGAAAAAGTAGTGTTAAGAGTAACATGACTTACCTGACGATGGTCTGAATGGCTGAAACATGTTGTGAAGTGAAAGCAGTATAAATTTACTCAATTTATACAGGAATTGTGTTGATAGAACATATAATCAATAGTTCACAAACAATAAAATATAAGTAAGATTTGAGGCTTTCACGGCGATGACTATGAAGAAAGCAGTCTTCTGGGATTTGGCACCGTGTATACGTGGTGTTAACCGACGTTTCGGAGGAATGTATCGCCCCCATCTTCAGGGTAGAAGAAAAAGTATAAGAAATCTGCAAGCGACAACACCGTGAGAAATGGTAAAGCAGTTAACCGAAACGTCGGTTAACACCACATATACACGGTGCCAAATCCCAGAAGACTGCTTTCTTCAATAAAATATAATATTACTAGTTTTAAAGAAGTTTAAAAATAACATTTGGAGAGGGAAAACACATTTTTTTTAGCGTGTTTGATGAAAATTTCTTATGTGAATCTTCAAACATGTCACTCAGATCTTCATAATAAGGTATGGTAAAGTTGTCCCTGTTCTTAGTTAATTAAGCATTATGTCATGAAGACATATGGAAGAGTGCAGCAATTGCTTCACCATTCTTGACCTAGAGCGAAAGAAGTGGGTGAGTGGACAGATTCAAGCTCCTGTCACTTTGTTCCCCCTCCAAAGAAAGAGCCCCTGGTACCAACTGGGTAAGAGGAGAGGTGGGCCCCAGAGCTGGTATGAATGCTGTGTAGCATAGAAAAATTTCTTACCCCTGCCAGGAATCAAACCCCTGCTACCCTGTCCATAGCCAGCTGCTATCATGACTGAGATATTTTGCTGTTCTTTTTGTGGGCTGATTTTCACAGGGCTCTTTTCAGATATGACAATTTTCCATCATTTGTAAACATTCTAGCTATGTTGTTTGATTCTGTGTTACACATATCTTGCCTCACACGTTTGTTGTTGCTGATACACATGACAATTGGTATCAGTTGCAAAGTATTTTCTCAAACTAATATACAAGTGCCAAACACTCATTGTTGCTGCACAAGTTACCTGGTCTTCCAGTCTCTCCTCTTTCTCCTTCTCTACCAGGAAGTCCAACTCCATCTGGTCCAGGTGGTCCTATAAAGACGTCTTTGCATGAATTTATGCCTCATGTAAACTTAAAGATGAAATAAAAAGTTTCAATGGATACGTTAAAAAACACATAATTTCATGAAAAGTTAAACAGTTCTGTCTAGTGTGACTGGTGAAGATTTTTCTTATTTCAATTATTTATGCCCTTACATGTTTTGGTATTGTATTGTATTGTATTTATATTTGTTCAAGAAATCCAAAAAAGGATATAGAACATGTCACAGAACTAAATATAAAACAGGATACATGCATAAATTACACGACTAGATAGTACAATGAATCAAACAATAACAAGTTTCAAAGATCCAAAAAATGGATATAAAACATGTCATAAATAATACAAAACATAAAATAC